TTTTTTTTTTTTTTCTTTTTTTAAAGAAAATGTATTGTGTAGACTGTAAATAGGTTACCTATGGCACACCCAGGGTTCTCTCTTACCTTGCCCACAGGAATTCCCTTAGAGTAATTGCCAGTAAAGTGCTATTCACCAGAGAAAGAAGTGACCTGTGGAAACCTGTTTAACCAGAAAGTATAAATCCCTCAAATAGAAGATGGTACCTTCCTAGTATTTCAGATCTGCTTGAACATTGGAATTTTCCATTGCTTATTTGTGCCCGATCCTGCTCAAAACTTTTTCAGGAGATGATGTGAAGGCTGGCTGGCTGGCTGCTAGAAATAAGAATTCCACCCAGTTACAAGAAAAGGAAAACATTTTTAATATCTGGCAGTATTGCAAATGTGGAAAGCAACACAATGCAAAAGGAGATCTTAGTAGCATGGTACACTTTGCAAAGTTTGTGCAGCAGCTCAAGGGAAACAGGTAGCACAACAGGAGGACAGCCAATACTACTTCACAGAGGGGGGAAAAAACAAAACACCAACACAAAACAAACAAAAAACCCCAAACAGGGATGGGAATTAAATGCAAAAAAAGTGAAAATAGCAAGCACACACACACACACACACACAAACCACCTGGGGTAAAAGACTACTGTTACCATCCCTCCTTTCTGGATGAGGCCTAAGGCCCAGTGCAGGCACCACCTTGGCAACCTGAAAAGAGGGAGAACTCAGCCAGCCTGTAGGCCTTAAAATGAGTAGGTTTCCCTGGGTGGGTGCCTCCCTAGGCAGGTGTCAATACCAAAGGACAATGCTTAAGGATGCCCTTTGATGTTGCCCTTTGCCAGTGACCAGTAAGGGGGTGGATGGTCTTTTCTTTTCTTTTGTTTGTTTAGGGCAGCAGTGCCTATATTGACAGATTGTGCACCACCAATTTAAAAATGATACAACCTTGAGTGCCACCAGCAATTTTTTTTTTATTATAAATTTCTTTATATGACATCTGTTAACATGTACCAGTGACAAGTTGTCTGCATACCACTGGTGGTACCCATACCAGATGGGGAACCTCTGGTTTAGAGGTTTTTGTTAATTCAGTGTTGCATTTGTTGGAAGGGAAGGAGTTAGGTGTGGGCTTATTTTTGGGGGGTTGGGGGAGGAGGAAGAAGTTTGACAGCCATAGCCCCTCTGTAAAAGAATGGCAGCAGGGGCAGAAAATCTCTCCTGTAGGGGAAGTGGAGCAGTAGGAGTGGATGGGTGGGTAGTGGGAGGGTGAAAATAGAATTCCTGCATCTTGATGGGCAGTTGGGAGCCGTGGTTGGGATTGGCAAGAATGTTTGCTTGTGTGGCAGTTTGGACAGGGAAGTAATGTTTGGGAAATGGAAGGAGTTGGAGTTTTCAGGTGGTGGGGTGTTGTTTGTGCAATGCAGTCTGTGAGCTGTTCATTTACTGTAAGCTACGCTGAGCCTTTTAAGTAGGTGGGATATACAAATTAAAGAAGCAAGCTAGTCAGCCAGCCTCTGTCCAAATACAGACTATCTGATTCCTTGCTAACTTTATGCTCATGAAAGGTTTGAACACAGATGATAGAAATTTAAAAACAAATGATTTCAGAAAAGAATCAACAGATTGCAACACAAATGAATATGGAAAACCAAGTGTTCCCAGATTTTGTGTCTGAGTCAGAGCCAAAATGCCACATATGGTTTTGATTCTGCGATTTTCCCATCTAATCAACAACAGCGTTAGGGAATTAAGATCATATATTCTTGCTAAATTGGTGATTTAGAGGATATTTAAAGTAGATTGTGGTAATTAAATGCATCAAAAGTTCTTGTGAAAAATCTCTTCCGATTAAAATATTCTTGTAGTTAATATAGATACCAAAATAAAATGTATCTAGTGTTTTATAGCAGCGTCCTAAAAAAGCTGGCAAAAAGAGTCTAAACATTCTTTCCTTTTTTTTTTTTGGACTCGTGTAAGTTTTTTTTTTTTTTTTTTTTTTCCTTTAAATTTAATAG